AAAGTTACATATGTAGCCAATTGTATATTTTCTGTAGTAGTTCATTAAATTACAATATTAATAAGTGATTAATAAAAGTCAAAAGACCAAAGAGGGCATCTTAAAAAAAAAAATTTAAATTGATTTTTTAAAAGATTTAAAAATTTATAATATATTAAAAAATATCTTTCTATAACAAATTTCTTAAACTGATAAATATTCAAATAGTTCTTCAGAATTTATAACAACTGATATATTACTATACAAAACTTTTTTATAAAATTATTGTTACTCAAATTATAGATCTATTTTTTTTTTTTTTTTTAAGTTAAAGTTTCTGCTTTTATGAATCAATGTTTTTATTTAAGTATTTGAACATAAATGCCTTTAGTAGCTTTTTTACATTGGAGATTACAACTAGTCATACATGTACTTTTGGTATCTAATTTAAGTAGTTTGCCTATATATTACTATACAAGTTCTATACTAGGTCTATATCTGCAAGCTAGTAACAGGTCTTGCTTATTTAAACCTCCTGCATATGTAGTTTAACATATTTCATAGTAATATCTTCAAAGACTACACCTATTCAAAGTATCTAATGCTTTTAAAATCTTTAGAACTAATTTATTCTTAATAGGAAACTTACTAAAACTTTTTGTATTCTATACAAATTTGACCTAGTTTTATATAACTTGCTATAGTTATCTAATATTTGCAGTCACAAAGATTACCTGTTTAACTGCTATATTACACTATTTTAATTCTTGTAAAGTTCACTAAAATCCTAATATCTATTATTATAACATCTTTTTTATTATTTTTTACTATTCATTACTCAGAACTAACAAGACTTTTTGACTTCTAATTTAGATAGCCTGATATAATATACATATGTATTTTTTTTCTCTAATAATTTTAACAAACTAGTTGGTTATATGCTTTTTTATACATCTTGTTATCTAGTTGATTCATTTATTTCTTTGAGGATGTTTTATAGGCTTTTATTAGTTTGACTATATTATTAAAAGTTTATGCTATTTTTTTACTTAGAAATTTCTAAGTAGACTTCTGACTCTTTAGTTCTTTAGTTTACTGTACCCAGTAGTTTTATTATGAGTTTGCACTGAAGCCTTATGCAACACCAATTATTAACATTTCTTTATGTATATATAATGTTATATTTTGCATAAATGCCCAAGCTCTTACTTGAGATGATGCAATTTAAGATTACAGATATACTAATCTAACTGATTATCAAGAGACAATTTGTTAAATACTAGACCTGTTACTTAAAAGATAACAATCTGACTACTACACTATAATTACTTTTTAGATACATTTTTTAAAATTACTGAACTATATATTTTAATATAATGATCTAAACTTATTAGATCTATTTTTTTTTTTTTAATATTAAAGTCTATATCTTTAGAATATAACATTTTTATTTAAATATATAGAACATGACATGCTACCAGAGACTATCTTATATTGAAGATTACAACTAGCTATATGTACACTTTTGGTGTCTAATTTAAGTAGTCTACTTATATATTACTATATAAGTTTTATACTAGATATTATATCTGCAAGTCAACTAAAGGTCTTGTCTATTTAAACTTTTTGCATATGCAATTCTTTTTGTATCATAAAAACATCTTCAAAACTACATCTATTTAAGTTCTCGATGCTAGTTAGTATTCTAAGAACTACTTTATCTTTAATATAAAACTTACTAGAGCCTTTATTTTTCACATATACTAATCTAGTTTTATGTAACATTATATAGTTATTTAATACTTGCAGTTACAGGAATTATCTGTTTAACTGCTATATTATATTATGTCTATTTTTGTAAAGTTTATTAGAATCTTAGTATCTAGCTTTTTAGCATTTTTTCTATTATCCTCTACTAGCCACAACTTAGAACTGTCAATTTTACTTCAGACTACCAATTCAAATAGTCTGATATGGTATACTTTTGTATTCTTTTTCTTCGATAAGTCTGGTAACCTAGTTGGTTATATACTTCTTTACACATATTTGTCATTCAGTTTTAATCTTCAGTTCTTATAAAGGTGTTTTGTGGGCTTCAACTGATCTGATAGTATTATTGAAAGTTTATGCTATCTTTTTACTTAAGAATTTCCAAGTGGGTTTTTGTTATTTTGTTTCTTAGTCTTCTACATTTAGTGGTCTTATCATGGGTTTGTACTGAAGTCTTATACAATACTAGTTATGCATTCTTCTATGTACATATAATATTATACTTAGTATAGATGTTCTGAGCTCCCAATGTTGATAGAACCTGACTTGGTATATCTGGGTTACAGTCACATGAGACCAACCAATTAACAGAAGACAGTTACTATAATACAGATATAATTTTCAAATTTTATTACAGATAGGATTTGAACCTAAAACCTATTACTTGAAGGATGACAACCCAACCACTGCACTAAGATCACCATCCTCTCATTAGATCTATTTTATTAAAATATATATTTAAATATTTTAATAAATTAGAGCTATGACATATATTAGCTAATATCTATTTACTAAGAAACTATACTTTCTTCTTCCTATCTAAGACCAATTAAAATACTTAATTTTGTTATACAAAAGTATATTTATTTTATATTATAACTATAATTATACTTAAATAATTCTACAGATCTATGAAATTTAAATAAAAAATTTTTTATTGAATTCAATCAAGAACTCATAGAGATGTCATTAATTAATAGTTTTTTTATTTCTAAAAATATATATTAAACTATGTTAAAATTATTTATAAGATCTTTAATCAATGATATCTTTGCAAATTCTTGACCAAATTCGATAAAAATTTTTTTATTTAAATTCTATAAATCCTTTAATTTAAATAAAAAAATTTTCATCAAATTTGATCAAGAACTTGCAAAAATGCATCAATTAAAGTTTTTTTTCTTTTTTTAAAAATGTATATCACAAAAAAGCTGTGTTAAAATCATTTATAAGAACTTTAATCAATGATATCTCTGTAAAGCCTTAACCAAATTTGATAAAAATTTTTTTATTTAAATTCTACAAAACCATAAAATTCAAATAAAAATATTTTTATCAAATTTAGTTAATAATTCACAAAGATATTATTAATTAACTTTTTTTTATTTCTAAAAACATATATTAAACTGTATTAAATTATTTACAAAAATAATATCTTTGCGAGTTTTTGACCAAATTTGATGAAAATTTTTTTATTTAAATTTTACAGAGCCATAGAATTCAAATAAAAAAATTTTATTAAATTTGATCAAGAACTTGCAAATATATAGTGATTAAAGTTTTTATTTAAAAAAATTTAATAATATTAAATGTTTTATTTCTATATAAGTTATACAAAATTATTATTGATTTTATATAAAAAATAATTGATATAACCTCTATCCTTAACTAATAACTTTATTAATAAGATGCCATTGTTGAATAATACAATATAATTCTTCACTAATAATTTTACTAGTATGTAGATAATTAAAAACATTATAGGAAAATAAAAAACTCTTTCTGGTTCATCTCTGGAAATTAAGCAAAAACCAAAATTTCAACAAAAATTAATATATTTTCATTTCAGAACTCTTACAGGGCAAGGACCCTTATCCCAAAGAAATGCAAAACAATGTCTTTAAACATAAACAAGACTTAACACAAAAAGCTCAGCCTTGACACAACAGTAGAAAAAACCTTTAACTTTACAAAAACTGAAAACAGCAAGAAAGAAACTCAAAAAGCAAGAAAAAACAGCAACAACTTTATTCAGAAAACCAACAACCTAACAGTTAACTATGCAATAGAAGGCACAGCTTGCTGGGTCAGCCAAGTAGAAGAAAATGAGTTTCTTGAAACAAATAAAGAAAACATCAGCTTTCTAGACCAAAATAAAGCATGTAATAGTGCCAAAAAGTCAACAAACCTACTTCAAGTAAACAACAAACAACAATGAAATCACATGCTTTCTGACAATAATTCAAGATACGTGTTTGATAGCAACACATCAGAACACACACAAGTTGATGAAAACACTGTCCAACCTCAGCAAAGTGCCACAAACAACGTGGCAACAACCTACAATAAGAAAGTTAACAACACAGAAGCTATTACTACAAAAAATGCCAAACCTAAACAATGGTCAGACCTTTTCGCAAAACTTAAAGGAGGGAAAGCAATCTACACAAACTCCACCCCTAGACAAAGAATTCATTCCAAAAACAACAATGCTCTAATCTTAGATATACAAAGTCTTAACAACATCTTAACTAATGATATCATTACAGCATTAGCCTCAAGTATTGGAGAAGACTTTTTAGCAGCCAAAATACATATGTCCAGAGGAAAAAAAGCTTTTCTGGAAGTAGTTTTCAAAAACAACAAAAAAGTTCAGCTTTATGCTGTAGAAGGAATTATACTCTTCAAACAGTCACTTTTTGGATACATTTTGATAAACCTTAACCGTACCTTTCTTACAGTGAAACTGAGAAACATGCCTTTAGGTGAATCTAAGCACATCAGTAACCAAATCATAGAAACCTTTCAAGATGTAGGGCAAATTGCATCAGTCAAACCTCTTCTCTTCGAAGAGACCAATATCTGCTTAGATCAATGGTTAATCACATTTGAAACCACAGATGATCCAGATGTAGCTAAAAGAATTCCAAGAAACACACATATTAACTATCACAAAATTACTACTGAATGAAAAGAAGCCCCTAAGGTCTGCTATTACTGTGACAAAGAAGGTTATATTAAAAGGGATTGCAAAGAACTCAAAATCTCAATAGAAACAAGACATCTTCTTAAAGAAGCTAAAGAGCAAAGAGAAAAGGCCAAAGAACAAAAACTTGCAGCACCAGAATTGGAATTCCATACAGACAACCCATATATCGATAACTCAGCAGAATGGGCTCAAATAGAAAGACCTATAGAGGAATTAAATTTTCCACAATCCCAAACCTTTAATGAACATGTAACCTTCTGACATGCATGTCGAATCTTCAACCAAAGACCAATCCTTCAGCACAACCGAGAGTGAGGCAAATGCTGACTTAATCTCTAATCCAATTGCAATGAATACATCTTTAGAGTTAGACGAAGCAGAATTTACACTAGTTACCTCTAAAAATAAAAGAAATAAGAGCAAAAAGAAGAATCAAGACAAAATGGCTGGTCCAAGCAAAAGCAAGGAGTTTCTCTAGTGAGGCAGCTCCAAGTTAGGTCACCCCTACTAAGAACTAACACACTTAGTATAGCTATAAATACAAACCTCATTCTTATGATCAAAATTGCTACACTGAATGTCAAAGGGCTTAATAACAAAGTCAAAGCACAAAAAACATTTATTTTACTTAAGTCATACAACTTAGATATAATTACAATTCAAGAAACCAATCTTAAAGACAAAGTCACAAGAAACTTTCTTTCACAACAATGAGGGCTTGACTCCTTTTGGTCCTCTAAAACAGCAATTCTAGCTAGTAAAAAGAACATCAAACTTTCCAACTTTAAAGAATCTTTCGATGGAAGAGTAATTTCTGCTAATGCAGAAATAAAGCAACAATTATTTACAATTATGAATGTATATGCACTACCTAATCCTGAGGAAAGAGTCACTTTTCTTAGAAAATGGACCCCAAGTTTAGAAAATACAAATATTAGCATCATTGCTGAAGACTTCAACACAAACATAAATCCTAATAAGGATAGAATAAGTCAAGCTGCTGTTCAAAATGATCACTCAAGAGAACTTTTTGAGAATCTAATGTCAGAATATACTGATACAGCAATAACAACATCAGAAAACCCCTTTCTAACCTTCTACCAAACAACACATAGAAACCAAAAAATGGCCACCCATCTAGATTATATATTTATAGACTCTAATTATAGTCACCTTTGCCAAAACACCTGCACTCACTTTGGCAATGCAGACCATCTTCTAGTTGAAAGTAAACTTACTTTTAAAACCTCAGGTAACCATAAATCCTCTGGAAATTTAGCAGAAAATTCTGAAAAATTCCAGAAATCAAATCAAACATTCTCAATGAGCTCTAAGAAACTAAAGATACCTCTAACTGGGATTTACACAAGTGCATAGTACAGTCAATAATCAGAGCCTATAGACCTTCACTGCCTCCTAAGAGAAACATCCAGAAAATTCATAAAAAATTATGCAATATAAACAACAAAGTGGCCAAAAACCCCAATTTGGAAGAGCTCAAACTAATAGCAGAAGACTTAAACTTAAAATTACAAGAAGGGATTAGTAGTTTATCAGAAAAATGGCAAATCAGATCAAATGCTAAATGGATCGAAGAAGGCGAGAAATCCACTAAATATTTTTTTTCTCAAACAAATCAAAACACTCTATAGCCTGTAGCAGTAAAATACAAATACCAAACAGTTCAAATAACATCTCATGAGAACAGGTACTAAACTAAATCAAAGAAACATATCAGGAAATCTACAAAGCAGAAGAAGTTGACAAAGAAGCCATAAACCAACTTACCAATAACCTAACACAAGTTTCACCAGAATATAACCAACTATTGACTAAACCAATAATGGAGAAAAAAATAGGATCAGTAATTGATAAATTACCAAACAACAAAGCACCAGGCTCAGACAGTCTTATTTATGAATTTTACAAGGATACCAAGAAGCTCATACTGCCAACCTTAGCCAAGCTTTTTAATAGCATAATGGACAATAGCAAAATTCCAACTTCCTGGAGCAAAAGTATAATTACTCTAATTCCTAAGAAATCAGATGACCTAACCAATATAAACAACTGGAGGCCAATCTTTCTTGTCAACTCGGATGCAAAATCTTTATGAAAATTTTAGCCAACCATATCAACTCTATCTGTAACGACATTATTGGATCATCTCAACAAGCCTTTATTGCTTATAGATCAATAGCAGACACAGCACTTGACATAATTACAACTCTTAGAAATCAAAATGACCAGTCCAAGCAACACTGGATGCTACTACTAGATCAACAAAAAGCTTTTGACAGGGTCAACCATACCTTTATTCAACTTGTTCTTGAAAAAATGAACTTTAGCAGCAAATTTATCAACATAGTAAGGGCTCTATTCAGAACTCAAAAAGCACATATCGTAGACTCTGATCTTATTTCTGAGCCATTTAGAGTAGAATGAGGAGTCAGACAAGGAGACCCTCTCTCTTCATTATTATATGTGCTTGCAATTAATCCACTAATACAAGCAATTGAACAAAATATTAAAGGCATACCAGTTTACAATAAGGAATTTAAAATTGCAGCCTATGCAGATGATCTTTCAATTGGCATTGGCTCTCCTTCTAACTGGTCCAAGCTACAAAAATTCTTCTTTGCTATGAAAAAGCATCCAATGCAAAAATCAACAAAACAAAATCAATTCTTATACCAATTACAGAAAATGCCTATAGAATTGAACTCATTGGGCAATTAAACTTTAAGCTAATAAATAAATCTCTATAGAGTTACTTAACTAAAAAAATTAAATCCAAAATTCAAGACCTATCAAGAAGAAATCTATCCTTTAAAGGAAAAATTCTTGCAGCCAAAACATTAATCATATTCAAAATATGGTACTCAGCATATCTCCTACTACTATCAAGAAAAAAGTTAGGTGAAATTAATAATTTAATAAAAGGCTGGATCAAAAATAATTCAAAAATGCTTCTGCAATACTCAACATTTCAAATGAGCTACAAACAAGAAGGTCTTGCAGTCCCAGTGCTAAAAGACATGTTAGATGCCAGACTCCTATCAATCTGGATTAAGCTATTATCAAGCCACACCTTCTGGGCCAGAACAGAAAGAAGACTAATATCCATCAAACTCTCAAACAAAAGAAATATTCAAGTTGATGAAGCACTTCAGCAAACTTCTTGCAGAACTAAAAGCTGGCCAGATAGATGAAAACTCTATGTTACAGCATGGTGTAGATTCAAAGACAAAATTGATACAAACACAATTTGGCTATGGAAAATATCTTCTATCAAAATAAGTTATATGAATGGAGCTGAATTTACAGTCAAAAAAGCAATTAAAAGTCTTCATGAACAGTCTACTCTACAGCCAAATAGCACACCAAGCAGTGAAGGCACAACCTCACCACCAAGCTTGCTTACTATTCCTAGAACATTAAACAAGAAAAAAGATATTTTTTGGCAAGTTGCTTATCATGCTTTGCCTCTTGGCTACTGGCTTAAGCACATTGCTAATAATAATTTAGAAGACTGCCTAAACTGTCCTATGGTCTCTCAAACTATTGAACATTTCACACTAAAATGTCCACTAAGCAAAACAATCTGGGAAACCATATACAAATTTCTTAACTTTCCAAACTACCTTCTTTACTTGAAAACATTCTACAGGCAACAAACATAAATAATATAAAAAATTGTAAAACTGCCTTATGGCTACATATCTCTACTATCTACGAAATCTGGTGTTGGTACACTCAAGCTAGATGGAGAGACAGAATAATCCCAATACAATTAATAGCAGATATAGTTAAAACCAGGCTCAATTATGAAGTTAACTTGCTTCATAAATTAGCCTATAAACAGCCCCTTA